TTGAACCGCCAGCCTTCTGGTGAGCAGTCAAGTGCCTTAGGCACTATGCTACCAGAGCTCCCTCAATCTCCTTAGCTGAATCTATTTCCTCTAGCTGATGTTTAAATGTTGGAGTATCCCAGTATTCAATCCTAGGGCCTCTTCTCTCTCAACATTTCTTCCCCATGGGATCCTCATCTAAGTGCCATATCGATTCTGATGACTTCTTCTAAATACATCCAGACCTTATTCCCATTTTGGCTAATGATACTCTGCATTATCCACCTTGCATTTGTTTTGTATGTTCTGGCCTCTCTTCTACTACTTGTTCACACAAAGCTTTTCCCTCCTCAGAACCTCAGAACTCCCAACCCTGTGGGGAACTCTCTTCCTAGGCTCTTTGCATGGCTGCCTCCTTCTTGTCCTTCAGATCTCAGGTCAGAAGTCACTTCCTGAGAAAGGCCTTCCCTGACCACCTTCTCTACAAGTAAGTAGCCCCACCCCTCACAGTCACTTTTTACTTCAATCAGTCAGGCTAATTTCCTTCAAAGTGTTTATAACTGAATTACCTTGTTTAGTGCATTGTTTATTGTCTGTCTTCTCCATGAGAGTCTGAGCTCAGTGAAGACAGGGATCATTTTATCATTTTTGTCTTGTTTACTGCCTTATCTCCAGTGTCTTGTACAGTGTCTAGCCACAGTTGATGCTCAGTAAATATTAGTTAGATGAGTAAATTAATAAATGGGCTTGATGTACCCAGTAAGACAGAGTGGTGTGGGACTTCTAGAATTCTCTCTCTCCCCTGTTCCTTCTATCCTCTCCCCTCCCTAAGTTCCAGAAAGTGAATTCCCACTGTTCTGGACAATGGGGGTAAGTGAGGTATTCCTTGACTGCACATTGTCCATTCTGCCTTCCTTCCCTTCCACCACGAGAGGGGTGAGCCAAGGAAGAGGTTCTTTGTCTGAGCAATCCAGGATTTGAAGAGGCTGGTTGAGCCCAAGTTGGCTCTTGGCAGCCTCCCAGGGCCTCTGGCCTGCCATGGGGTCTTCTTGTCCAGCTAAACTCTTCTGTTCCTCCCTGATGTTTGCCCAGACTGCAAACTGAGAGCTCTCTGGATCCCTCTTCTCAGCTCTGGGCATTTATCCTTCTCTTTAGCTCTTGCTTTCCTACTTTCCACCTTCCCTGGCCTCCCCTTTCCAGCTTAAGGTCTTCTGGGACTGAGTACCTGATCTACTTTCTTATCTTTGCTTCTTTCTGACATACAGAAGGTTCATTCCCACTGGATATCGGCTCTGTGAAGAAGGACTACAGTTTTCTGGATGAGGACTCTCTGGGGGCTCTGTGCGGGTAGGGGAGCCTCAGGCCTCAGGCTTGGCTTGAGGCTTCTTCATGGGAAAAAAAATTCCTTGTACCCTCTAATAGAGGGGGAGCCTAGCATATTAACCAAGCTCATCTTCTG